AAATGTTTTATAGTGTAATATGACGTGACAAAACAGCCAAAATGTTCGGAAAGGTTTCGAAATAGGTTTTTAAAAGGAAAAAATACACTTGAAGTTATATATTACATTGTATATCCAGTGAAACAATTATTCGTCTTCCAAACATTCTTTTGGGATCCATTGACGCCAAATAATTTATTTCCCAAAACCTAGAAATACTTGAAGTACATAATCTTCCTCGGAGAAGTTTCGCTTACTCATTGCTTAAGACATTGTGGTAAAGGGATATGATAACCTGACACGCAAAATTTTCTTTTGAACGTTTTATTACTTATCGAACGAGATGTTCATCGAACGTCACATACCCTGTCATGACATTGAATCATCCCCACAGAGACCTCTCCTCTTGCAACAGGCATAGGCTTGTTCGCAAGCGTTATTATCTAGTCTTAGAAATGTTTACTTAGTTTATTATCAATTGCTGTTTGCATAAGTTATCATTGTTCTTGTGATAATTCAAGTAGGAAAGTTTCTAACCCGCACTGTTTTCTCCCTTCCCATCGCACTGCCCATCTGTCGCCTTTCGTTCTGCTTACATCGCAAAGCGACACACTCGAACACTTTCTTCGTGTTTGACAGCAATTAGGTGGTTAAATAGGTGTCTTATAAAAATTAATTATTTATTGAAATTACTACTGCCGGAGGAAATATGATGTCCCAAGAATTGCCTTGCGATGTCAAGCTGTTTTTCTAGGGAGATATCACGAAAAATTCACCAGAAGGGAAGTTACCAGAGAGATATCGTACAGCGGGATGTTTGAGAAACTGGCGGCAACAAGAGTTCGAACTCGTTTGTAAGAGCAGAAGTAACAACCGTTGCACAGCCGTTGGCAGAGGTGCATGAAAATTTCAAAAATTTGTTAGAGAAATTATAGATTCGTAGTAATCGTTACTTATAGTAGAAGGTAGTTTTCACTCTTAATTTTGTCCTTGATATAAAATTATAATCGTCACTTTGTAGTATAATGTAATAGTAACATCGCATTTAATAATGAATTTGTTTGTATTCCAGCGTTATAAAATAATCTTTTCTGTTGCAAGAAATCGTTCATAATGGGGCATTTTACGGCACAAATGATGAATATTAGATTTTATGTCACGAATGATTGCGTCATCACACATTCAGCCAATCGTAGCGAGAGAATCGGGGGGAGACAGAGCTAAACGGAACAGCCGACCACTATTTACTCGCAAATACCAGAGTCGCCACTGAGAAGTTGTTTCGCAAAATTAAGTTTGATTCTCTTATAAATGTGTAATGCTGTTATACAAAGAAATATAGCATGCAACTCGTTTATAATGTTGCTTTATTACATTCGTACATATTTGAAACCTCGATCATATAGTCGCTCGTTTTCAAAACATGTACTCTTGCAATAAAGCTTAACATTGTAAACTAATTGCAAAAACTACTATTTCTTGTGCCTGTGAAGTTCTTTTCTCTTGCAAACTACCTTGCTCATCGCGAACTAAACGTGTAATATCATTTAGTTCACAAACTAGGCTGAAAGAGAGGCTCCCATGCACAGTATAGGAGAATTTTCGTGGCACCATCCACACCGTAGCTCCAGCCCAGCCCGTCGAACGAATATAAGTTCATTTGAACTAGTTCGTTTATTAACGCCATATCTCTTCTTGAACTAGCAATTGTAATTGTAATTTTACTAATTAAGGGGTGAAAATGTACTTTGCAATTGTAATTGAGTATAATATTTGACAAGAAACGGAAATCAATTCCTATGTACTTTTCCCATGACTGATTAGTAGGAATTCAATTTTCTTATTTTCAGTTACCTTATTTTCTCAATCTGTAATGTGCTGCGAGAGCGCATGTGGTTGCCAGTTTGGATCTTAAGTTTTGTTGACAGGGTTCGATGGCCTAGGTGAGAGTGCCGTCACTAAGAGGATTTTTGACTTCAACTAAAAAGCTGTTTGGAAACCCGCTTCTGCCCAGATGGAAATTCTATCGGCCAGCTTCTCAAAGGACCGTTTTCGTGGTTTTCTTCGGCCAATTCCGTGAGAATGCAAGAGCAGTGCCAACAGGCCACAAAACGCGCACTGCCTTTCTTTCCCAGTTTCCTCGTTTCTGTCCTTAGAACCGAGCATCTCGCGTAGGCCTGTTGATTGAGGAAAATCTCCGACAAGCATGGAATTGAACCAGTTGTAAGTCACTAAATATGTCTGGAGGTGCAATCGTAATAATGGGCATTTTCCCTCTCCAAAGTTGTTGGATCTTCTGAGTGGGGAACATGTAAGAACCATCGGAAATATTGGCTGGTTGGTTAGTTGATAGAAATTGCGGGTGCGTCAACTGATAAGGCCAGTAGTCCCGTAAGTGTAGTGCATGCTTCTTCTTTGCTAGATCGGGCGCCGACCTACTGTTGGCTAGCGGGGTTTTCCCAACCAGGTATCGCCCATCAGTGGGGCACCGCCCCAGCCTGGACAAGCTCTAAGATACCAACTGGTCTCCTGGCGTGTGGTAGTGAAGTGCATGATAGTGTGTGTGAATGTAAGGGGTGAGGATATGACAAGGAAGAGGAATAGAAGATCGCTCGTGGTCCTTGGCCCGTTTTTGGGGTACTGAACCGGCATTCGCCCAGTGTTCATCGGAGAAACCATGGAAAACTACCAATCAGCTACTGAATTCGTTCCAGTTGACAAGCCAGCGTCGAAAATCCTGCTACCGTGGGGACTCGAACCTAGGACCTCCGGCCAGAGTCACTGTTGTGACAACTCTCCCAGGCCATCGACTAGACAGCGTGGGTGGCAGCATGGGAGCG